TGTAGGTCAGGGTTAGCAGCTTGAACTTGATGCGTTGGGCAATCGGGAGCCAATGAAGGGATTGGCAGAGGGGGGGCAGATGTGGAGCGGTTGGTGAGGTGAATGAGTCTAGCCGCTGAGTTCAGGATAGACTGGAGTGGGGATAGTGTTCGTTTGGGTAGGCCAGTGAGAAGGGAGTTGCAGTAGTCCAGGCGTGAGATGATGAGGGAGTGTACGAGTTGTTTGGTGGTGTCTGGGGTGAGGAATGTGCGTATCTTGGAGATGTTGCGGAGGTGGAGCCTGCATGATCTGGATAGTAGTTGGATGTGGGGTAGGAAGGAGAGGTGGGAGTCCAAGGTGACACCCAGGACTTTGGCGTGTGGGGTGGGAGAGATGGTGGCGTTGTTAGTAGTGATGGAGAGGATGGGGGGGGCGCGGGCTGGGGGGAAAGACCAGGAGCTCGGTTTTGGACAGGTTAAGTTTGAGGAAATGGAGCAACATCCAGTCTGATATGTCATTTAGGAGGTGGGCGATGCGGGCAGAGAGTGAGGGGTGGTAAATTTGGGTGTCATCAGCATAGAGGTGATAATTGAAGCCATGGGAGTGTATGAGTGTGCCCAGGGAGGAGGTGTAGATGGAGAAGAGAAGGGGTCCAAGGACAGAGCCTTGGGGGATCCCGACAGAGAGGGGGAGGTGGCAGTGTTGTAGGTGATGCTGAAGGAGCGTTGGGAAAGATAGGAGGAGAACCAGGAGAGAGCAGCGTCCTTGATGCCAAGGGAGTGCAGTTTGGCAAGGAGGAGATGGTGGTCAACAGTGTCGAAGGCCACGGAGAGGTCGAGGAGCAGGCGGATAGAATAGTGGCCATTGGCTTTGACAGTTAGCAGGTCATTGGTGATTTTAAGTAGGGCGGTTTTGGTGGAGCGCAGGGGGTGGAAGCCAGACTGTAGGGGGTCAAGGAGGTTGTTATCAGTGAGGTGGGCGCTTAGGCGATTTTAGACCAGGCGGTCAAGGAGCTTGGAAGTGAAGGGCAACAAGGAGATGGGTCTAAGGTTGTTAAGGTTAGTGGGGTCAAGGGAGGGTTTTTTGAGTATGGGGGTGATGTGTGCGTGCTTTAGAAGGGAGGGGAAGGTGCCGGTGGAGAGGGAGAGATTGAAGATGTGGGTGAGGGAGCGAATGAATGGAGGGGGGGGTTGACTGGAGGAGCTGTGAGAAGATAGGGTCCAGGGGGCAGGTGGTGAGGCGGGCTTCAGTGAAGACCTTAGAGACCTCCTCGGGGTAGTTGGGCTGAAGGAGCGGTGTGGTGGGGGGGTGATGATGTGTGCGGGGCGTTAGGTATAGTGGGGGGTAGTGCGACTATGAGGTCAGGGGAGGGGAGGGTTGAGGGGTTGAAGGAGGGCGGGAGGCTGGGTGGAGAGGTGTATTGTGAGTTGACAATGTCATTACGGATTGCGTCAATCTTGTTTTGGAAGTGAGTGGCAATCTCGTGGGCGGTGAGTGAAGTGCTGGGTGGGGGGGGGGGAGAGAGCAGGGATTTGAAAGTGGAGAAGAGCCGACGAGGACAGGTGGAGAGGGTGCGGATAAGAGTTAAGAAATAGGCTTGCTTGGCGGCGTGGAGGGAGGTGGTGTAGGTGGCTTTATAGAGGGAGAACGCGCGAGGGGGGATCTGGAAGCCATCCATTGTGTACAATTGTCATGTGATCTGCTGTGATTGGTCACAGTGATCTCATGACACTGGCAACGGGCCGGTGTAGTGATATGTCATTGGCTGCGTCCCGTGGACAGAGCCGGTGACAGATCGCACCGCTGCAAGGTTCGTTTTGACAGGACGTCATAGGACACCCAGTCACAACGGCGAGTGTCCCGCCCAGCCATCAGTCTGGAAGGTGTTAACTACGTATACCTGGCTATATGTGTGCAATACCCCCAGGATTCCGATTTTTGCTGATAAAACCTGTTTGCATGTTGGATGTATGTCCTGTTACTGATCTCTTCCTATATAAAGCTTGTATTATTCCTATACTGGTCTACATCTATATACTTATGGCTCATGCTCTATGCTGGTTGTAGTAGTTCTTCTGCTCCAAATTACCCCCCCCCCGCAAAAGAGGGCTACACAGTCCATACACACACAGCACAAGGCCGGGGTCACACTACCAGACTGTTCTCGGGGCTGCAGTTCCTCTGAGCTCCACTAGGTGAGGATCTCACTTCTACCCAGACAGGAAGTCTCTATGGAAGACAGGAAGTGATGTCAAGTATAGACAGGAAGTGATGCCAGGTACAGACAGGAAGTGATCTAGAATAAAGACAGGAAGTTCCATGAGTTACAAAGCAGGTCGGAGACGTTGGTGGAAGTGGCAGCGGAGGAGGTAATAAGATGTTATTTCCTATTTACACCCAGTAACCCCTCACGTCCGTCCTCTTCCTCCATAGTCACGTCCCGTCCTCTTCCTCCATAGTCACGTCCGTCCTCTTCCTCCATAGTCACGTCCATCCTCTTCTTTCATAGTCATGCCCGTCCTCTGACTCCACATAGTCGCGCCCGTCCTCTGACTCCACAGTCGCGCCCGTCCTCTTCCCCCACAGTCGCGCCCGTCCTCTTCCCCCATAGTCGCGCCCGTCCTCTTCCCCCACAGTCGCGCCCGTCCTCTTCCCCACAGTCGCGCCCGTCCTCTTCCCCCACAGTCGCGCCCGTCCTCTTCCCCCACAGTCGCGCCCGTCCTCTTCCCCACAGTCGCGCCCGTCCTCTTCCTCCACAGTCACGCCCGTCCTCTTCCTCCACAGTCACGTCCGTCCTCTTCCTCCATAGTCACGTCCGTCCTCTTCCTCCATAGTCACTGTGACATCTTTTATCTCCAGCAGATGATGATACACACATATATAGTGTGGGGGACCCAGATTAACCCCTTCAGGGGCACAATATTCCCCCACTTCCGGGGCCGGAAACATTCTCCTCATTGTGGAGATAAATTCTAGTAATATGGTCCTCTAAACAAACAGCACTGACAATAAATAGACAAGACAAGGACCATCCTGACCATACATGGCCTACAAAGGGCAATGATGACACTACACAGGCAGCCCAATGGGCAATCATTACACTATGCAGCCAACACAATGATGGAGTGCCGGGGTCAGGAGTATGGAGCATAGAGCCCCTTACATTGCTGGTCAGGAGGAAGGAAACATTCCCCAGCCTGCCATGAAGAATATGTTCCATCATTGGTGTCAGAGAGAGAAATATACTGAGGGGTTCTGAGGGAAGAAGAGGACCTGAGGGGCCACTAGGGGGGAGTACCAAGGCTGAAGGACTTTTTGGCCCCGAGGGGGATAGGGTTTGAACAGTTCTTAGGGGGTAGGGTATTTGAAGGATCCTTGGTCCTTGATCGGGGTTGATTATTATTATTATTATTACTACGAGTTTATATAGCGCCAAAGGGTTTGCTCAGCGCTGTACAATAGAGGGGGACAATACATGGCAGAAGGGCTCTGGAGGAAGCTGTATGATTTAGGGGAACACTAAAGTAGGGAGGGGATCCTCCCACCTGCCCTTACTTGTCAGACCTCCTTACAGAACTCCAACCAAGAAAGGAAGGCATCTTTCACCTTCTTACCATCACATTGGTCAAATAAGATGTTCCAGAATGCCAAGTGAAATGAAAAAGGGCAGTCCTTCACCCCTTGGTGGGCATTTGTTTTTAGAGGAGATCTATTTGCACAACTATTTGGGTAGCCAGGGGTCAGTACTGTGCATCTTGGGAGGAAGTCCAATACCTTCCCATGACACAATTTTTGGCAGTGCCCGGTGCTGGAATTCAGAGCCCAGAAAAACCCACTGCCACTCTGTACAATGTTCTGGATATTACAGTATACTTGGCAACCAAGATAACCCCTCCCTCCCTTTCCTTCTCCTACCCAAACTGGGCTGCCATTGGAGGGAAGAGAACAGATTCCTCGCCCACAGCTCTACTCCACCAGCAGCATCCTCCTGCTGTCCAATCCAATCTCTTCACTTACTGCAGAGAGTGACAGTGACATCACCCCTGTCAGTCAGCAGGCTGCCGGAGATTGGAACCTTGCTTCCAGAGTTCTGGAAATTATCATTATTAGCCCACAACTCCAGCCATAAGCAAGCATATTCCTCTTCTTAGACAAGTATAGAAAATACTAAACAGTCCAAACTAAATGTGTTCCCATTGGTGCAGTACACCTTAAATGTCCAGCAACCCTCCTATTCCCCCCTCACATCACATCCAATTATTGTGTGACCAACACCATCCAAATTATTCTTACTTTCATTTCCCAAAGTTATCCGTCTACAAGGAGACCTGTATAGATCACATGATGGCACCAATGAGGATGGAGGAGGACCGGAGTCACATGACTGAGAGGATACTAAATTTCACCCTGGAGATCATCTACCTGCTGACCGGAAAGGTGAGGAGGATTCTGGGAGATCACATTACATCACTGTAATCTCTATCAATAAAACACAGACCTGACCGGAGAGGTGAGGAGGATTCTGGGATTCTAACATATTTATATTGGTTCTCCAATACAGAGATTTCCTTTCTGAAGTCAGGTGATCATATGACCATCACAGTGCCTCCATGTGACTTCCTAAAACCCAAGAGACACAACACGCAGAAGATTCTAGAAGTCACCAAGAAGATGATGGAGCTGCTGACAGGAGAGGTGAGCGGTGCCGGGAATTCTGGGACATTCTCCAGTAACAGACAAGGGATGTGTCTGGATGGTGACTGTATCATTGTGTGTGTCAGGTTCCTATAAGATGTCAGGATGTCACTGTCTATTTCACCATGGAGGAGTGGGAGTATTTAGAAGGACACAAGGATCTCTACAAGGACGTCATGATGGACAATCAGCCGCCCCTCACATCACCGGGTAAGAGGAGACTTTATTGTAAAGGAGAGAGCAGTATGGAGGATCCACCTAGATCCCCCATCATCTGATAAACACATAGAAACAATGGATTCAGTCAGTGTGTGTGTTTCCTACAGATGGATCCAGTCATGGGAGCCCACCAGAGAGATGTCCCCGTCCTCTGTATTCCCGGGATTCCACACAGGAAGGTCACACCATCCCTCACCATCATCAGGTAAATGGAAAAACCCACAAGAGATTGTAGTACTGATTTACAGGAAGGTACACATCAGGTAAATGGAAAACAATTATTGGTAGTACTGATTTTTTTTTGTTACAATGAATGTTTTATTATATATTCAGAGTGGAAACCTCTGGAATGCTAGTATTGTTGTTAAAGAAGAGTATAAAGAGGAGGATGAGGAGTATGGAGTGATGGAGATGTTTTCAGAAGGACGCAAAGATATGATGGAGCCACCTAATACCAGGAACCCACCAGAGAGATGTCCCCGTCCTCTGTATTCCCTGGATTCCACCATCCCTCACTATTACAAGGTTGGTGGGATGGAGTATCTAGAACATGGACTTGTGGAGAAGATGTGTGGATTTCTTGTGTGATTTCATAATACTAAAGCTTATATTTTACAGATGATCTTTTCTCTCCTTCTCTTGGTTTAGGTTGAAGATCTGATAGATATTAAAGTTGAGGTTAAATCAAGAAGAAGAAGAAGAAAGAAGAGGCGTATGTGAGGGATGATCAGCAGTCTATGGAGGAGGATGGAATAACGGGGACATTTATAGAGGAGGACACTCCTACAGAGATCAGCACAGGTGGGCATGAACACTAAATCCATTCCTCCACCCATACTGCTCACTGATTGGTCCAGAGTAGGGCGGGGACTGGGTGATATCAGCCTGTAATCCCCTGGTCACTTTCCTGAGCTGTGTTCCCCGTCCTGTATTCCTGGATTTCTCTCGGATAATCTTCCTTCTCTGTGCTGCAGACACAATTTATGTATCTAGACTGGATTTATGGAGATTCTGGGGTTCAGCTGGCAGCAAAATGTTGATTTTTGCCATAGGCTTGACCTAAGCACCTGGGGAATGTGATTTGGGTCTTCTGCCTCATGCCCGGGTCTAGCAAGATCTCTGACAGAACCATTCTCCCAGGGTTCCTTGCTCTGTAGTCTGCTGGCTGTGCCGGGTGGAGGGATATGTCTGTATAGTCTCAGACCCAAGTCACTGAGTGCAGTCTCAGGAGATGGGAGGCTGTGCTGTGGGACCCCTGCAAATGGTCTCCAGAATGTCATGGCCCTTACAAATAAGTGAGGGGGATCAAAACATTCTTTTGAGCCTTTAAATATTCAACAAAGAACACAGAGCATGGTGGTAGAATATTTTTGGGGAATGATAGGAAGTTTAAGAAATGTTGTATTTCAAGACCAATACATTATTACATTATATATCATGGACCATATTTGCCATTATTTGTATGAATTTTGTGCACTTTATTCATTTCGTCATTTGATTTTATTACATGTATCTATATTTATGTGTGTTGTATGTTCACTTGAGTGTGTGACTGATGGATTTATGCATGGATTTGCTACTCTATGAAGAAGTAGGTGCTACACCCAGAGATAATCCCCACGGAGGTGCAATGTCGGTGCTCTGGGTCTGTGTGTTTTCCCAGCGCAGATTCAATGGAATGTTGAGGATTGGTATAGCCGGCACTCGTCTTCCCAAATAATAAACTTTATTGAGCAAAGATGTGCAATTAAATTGCTTACGCGTTTGAGCAATAAGCTATGGCTAAGGCTTATTGGCTTTGCTAAGCCTTCAATGCGTAAGCCATTTTATATGCACATCTTACTCGCTCAATAAAGTTTATTATTCGGAAAGACGAGTGCCAGCTATATATAGTAAGATAGATATATAGATATATTTTCTCTTTTGTTTCCTACCAGCTGAACATTTTATATTGGATGATGTGATTGGAGCACAGACTTTTACGTGTTGATAAGAAATGTGGTAACATCCTCCAACTTTGGACCCTTAAACAGAAAGTGATAATGAGGGAGGAGTCAATACCCCAATGATGGTGGTCTTCAGGATCAGTCTAGTCTTCATCTTGGTTGTTCTCCTCCCCATCCTCACTCTCTGACCTCTGGTGGGGCTCAGCCCCGCTGTTCTTCATGACTAAATCATGGACTAAATAAAGAAGTGTGGGAACGGGGTCATCTGTTCACATGGTGGTACACTCTGCACCAAGCATGCTCATCGCTGCCTGGGACCAGGCAGTGACTGCAGTCATGTAAAACATCTAACATTAAAGTGTTACTAAACCCCGGACCCCGCATTCACTAGATCTGCTCTCCCCGGACCCCGCATTCACTAGATCCGCTCTCCCCGGACCCCGCATTCACTATATCCGCTCTCCCCGGACCCCGCATTCACTATATCTACTCTCCCCGGACCCCGCATTCACTATATCCGCTTTCCCCGGACCCCGCATTCACTAGATCTGCTCTCCCCGGACCCCGCATTCACTAGATCTGCTCTCCCCGGACCCCGCATTCACTAGATCTGCTCTCCCCGGACCCCGCATTCACTATATCCGCTCTCCCCGGACCCCGCATTCATTATATTCGCTCTCCCTGGAACCCCGCATTCACTATATCCACTCTCCCTGGACCCCACATTCACTATATCCGCTCTCCCCGGACCCGACATTCACTATATCCGCTCTCCCTGGACCCCGCATTCACTATATCCGCTCTCCCTGGACCCCGCATTTACTATATCCGCTCTCCCTGGACCCCACATTCACTATATCCGCTCTCTCCGGACCCGGCATTCACTATATCCGCTCTCCCTGGACCCCGCATTCACTGGCTTCGTCTCCCTGGACCCCGCATTCACTGGCTTCGTCTCCCTGGACCCGCATTCACTATATCCGCTCTCCACGACCCCGCATTCACTATATCCGCTCTCCACGGACCCTGCATGCACTATATTCACTCTCCCTGGATCCTGCATGCACTATATCTGGTCTCCCACAGTACACACAACATGAAAATGCAATTATTTTAGTAAATATAAACTGCTAAATACCTTTTTCTTATCAGCAGTATAGAGCAGTCTTGTAACTTCTATCAGTGTCTGGCTGAGCACTGGTTAAAGCTTGTAGGAGGAACTTTCATTCTCTTTTGACTGTTCTATGAGGCTGCATAACTCCTGACAGAGGGTCTGGACAGTGCTGATTGGCCTTGTGTTGATCACATGCGCACCATCCCAAACTAAAAAACTCTACAGCAATACTCACTAAACTGAGCATGTGCAGAGTGCCTCCTGGGGCTCTGTACTCTCAGTAGATGGATTGGGGACAGCAGAAGAAGGGGAGGATCACAGCAGACAGGGTCAAACAGCCTTTTTACACAGTGCGGAGGATTAACCCCTTAGGTCCCACAGTGAGTATAACAAGAATGCTTTACTGCATATACTGACTGATTGTACTGTTGTGGGTTTAGTAACACTTTAAGGCAGTTCCCCGACTGAGAGATGAGCTTCCACTGTGTGCTGTAATAAAGTGTAGTTTCTCTGAACAGTGACTTGTCCCATGTTGCATTAGGAGGGACGTACTGAGTCTGCGCCCACTCCACCAGTCCAGCGTACTTTTGTTACCTCACTCCCAGTAACAGAATGGGATCCTGCAAGGAACCTAGTGCGGACCTCATGAGTGCTCTCACTTAACTCTTTCCTTCCTGTACCACGTGACCAGGCCATAGATCTCTAATGCTAGTCTGCTGTCGGTTGCCATGGGAGATGGACTGCTAGGGAGGAAGCCAGAAAATTACCCCCTCACTATGGCCAGACAATGTCCCCCTCACTACCGGAGGACGGAATGCTAGGGAGGAAGTTAGACAATGTCCCCCTCTCTACAGCCAGATAATGTCCCCCTCACTACCAGAGGATGGACTGCTAAGGAGGAAGTCAGACTATGACCCCCTCACTACGGCCAGACAATGTCTTCCTCAATACTGGAGGACGGACTGCTAGGGAGGAAGCCAGACAATGACCCCCCTCACTATGGCCAGACAATGACCCCCTCACTACCGGAGGACGGACTGCTAGGGAGGAAGTTAGACAATATCCCCCTCTCTACAGCCAGATAATGTCCCCCTCACTACCAGAGGATGGACTGCTAAGGAGGAAGTCAGACTATGACCCCCTCACTACGGCCAGACAATGTCTTCCTCAATACTGGAGGACGGACTGCTAGGGAGGAAGCCAGACAATGACCCCCTCACTATGGCCAGACAATGACCCCCTCACTACCGGAGGACGGACTGCTAGGGAGGAAGTTAGACAATGTCCCCCTCTCTACAGCCAGATAATGTCCCCCTCACTACCAGAGGATGTACTGCTAAGGAGGAAGTCAGACTATGACCCCCTCACTACGGCCAGACAATGACCCCCTCACTAAGGCCAGACAATGTTCCTCTTTCTTCGGCCAGACAATGTCCCCCTCCCTACCGGAGGACAGACTGCTAGGCAGCAAGTCAGACAATGACCTCCTCACTACGGTCAGACAATGTCCCCCTCGCTACCGGAGGACAGACTTTTAGGGAGGAAGTCAGACAATGTTCCCTTCACTACCGGGGACAGACTGCTAGGGAGGAAATCAGGCAATGATCCCCTCACTACTGCCAGACAATGACCTCCTCACTATGGCCAGACAGTGTCCCCCTCCCTACCGGAGGATGGACTGCTAGGGAGGAAATCAGGCAATGACCCCCTCACTACTGCCAGACAATGTCCCCCCCTTACTATGGCCAGACAATGTCCCCCTCCCTACCAGAGGACAGACTGCTAGGGAGGAAGTCCATGACCCCCTCTCTATGGTCTGACAATGTCCCCCTCACTACCGGAGGACGGAGTGCTAGGGAGGAAGCCAGACAATGCCTCCCTCACTACCGGAGGACAGAGTGCTAGGGAGGAAGTCAGACAATGCCCCCCTCACTATGGCCAGACAATGCCCCCCTCACTATCGGAAGACAGACTGCTAGGGAGGAAGCCAGACAATGACCCCCTCACTATGGCCAGACAATGTCCCCTTCACTACCGGAGGACAGACTGCTAGGGAGGAAGTCAGACAATGACCCCCTCACTACCGGAGGATGGACTGCTAAGGAGGTAGTCAGACAATGACCCCCTCACTATTGGAGGATATGTCACCTCACCAGGTACCATGCCTAACCATTGGTTGCTTGTAGCTGGTT